AATCCGATTCGGTATCCTCTTGACGGAATCTAATGAAATCCGACTCTGTCCGCTCTGGAACCTGGCAATATCGGATTTTTGAAATGGCAGTTCTGAGCGGATGTGACGTGATCCGATCGGGTTTTAACGGAAGGTGCCATTGTCCGGAGCAATCCGGTATTGGATCCGATGGTTTCCGGTAAGTTACATTGGCCGGATTGGATCGTCTGGAAATATCTTGGTCTTTCCGAAAGACAGTTCTGTGCGGATGCGATGTGGTCCGATCGTCGGTTTCGAAAGAATCCGACCGTATTCTTTCCGACTTAATCCGGCCCGGAATCCTGTGCCAAGGAATCCGACGCAAACTGCAGCGGATCCGATTGGCTTTTAACGGAAGACTTCGGATTTCGATGCAATCCATCTTGGATCCGATGGTTTCCGGCAAGATCTACAGGTCGGATTGAATCTCTTGGGTATCCATTTAGATACATCCCCATTTTTTATTGTTCGGATTTTTTGAATAATCCGTCTTAGTAATGCAATAAACAATAGGTCTATGAAGGAAAATTCGTAACTAATTGCATCACAGCTAGATTATTTAGGGACACGAGAAGAGGATTATTTCTATGCGGATGCTACTTTCGGGCATTGTGGGGAGAACCGGTCATTTTCTTAATGAATGTTTTTTTCCTTCTCCTAAATGCATGAATGTGCGTTGAAATGTGTTAACTTAATTATCAAATTGTCAAAAAATTTGATATCATCACTATAAGTCAGTTCTTCGTAAAATGTTGGCTTGATGTGTCCAAATGGATACATCTGACCGGAAAGTGTTAAGTATGTAAGAAAGATTATCTGAAAATGATTCGATCTTTTCTGGTTGTATTTCTATGGCTAAATGATGGTATTTTTATAAAAATTAGCAATAAAAAACCATTATGTGACACAGAAAACTTAATGGATTTTAAAACCTATATTTTACAAGTTTTATTTATATTGCAACAGTTGCGGACAGACCATAGACATGAATTTCTCTTGAAGTTGAAAAGTGTCAATGTTATGTACGAATGGTCCACGAAATTCTTTTGTAGCAATTTGAATTTCACCATCCTCATCAATATATTGTTGATATTCAACACGATAAAACGGAATCTCATCCTGTGCCATCAATGAATCGAAATCACCATCGAAATCGATAGGTTCTAAAAAGTCGAATCCCCTGTTACAATATTTTGCTATACGTGTGCACACGTGCTTTGGAGTTCGAGCATGCAGATTGTAGACAATAAATGATTTTGTTGCAAGACCTTGTAAGAATGGAAATGTTGAAACGATTTTATCTCCTGAAAATCTCATATATGAAATTTGTAACCGAAAATTCATTGAAAGATATAGAAAGTTACCGGTAAATGCTACTTGACAAATATCCATGTCAAAATTGTGAAGAATATGCGAAAGTGGATTTTTAGAGCTTCCGACAGATGCCCAAGAGAAGTTCAGTCGAACATTACAGGGTAGAAATATATTGTAGGACGGTGCCCCTGCAATTTTTTCTATATTTATCTGATTCGTTAAGTTTGGCCAAATCGTGTTATTGAGGAGCCTATTGATGGTAGTCTGTACTGTTTTTTCAAAATCCAATATATCATCAGCGTAATAGATCAAGTTAACATCTTGTTCTTTGGTGTCGATAAATGGTGATAAACATAATGCATTGAGAACACAGCCTCCAACAATGGCGAATTTTGAGAAATCAATTGCTTCTAGCCATGCAGCTGATGAAAAACGAGTCGCAAGATTCTGTTTAAACTCGTCCATGGTACGTACAAATAACAAATCCGAGTGATGATTTCGTTTTTTTTTTCATATTAAAATGCGTACTAACTAAATTAATCGAATATATATTTATTTTTACATGTGATACTTTTCATTTTATATGAATACCTTTAAACAAATTTTTCTCATGATCATTCAACATACGTTCCACGCCGATTGTATTACCGTACCACTCATAATCAAGCAGTCCGAAATCTGCGTTGTACCAGACAGTATTAAACGGTAAAAGTCGAGAATAGCATTTAAAAAGGGAAGTCTTATAGACCACACACAATTTCGAAAAACCTTCAACACTAAAGCATGGATGAATATATAAACGTTCAGACGGTTGAGTAAAAGAAGAATAACGTGTCGAGACTACAATAAGTCGTTCATCATCAATTTCGGATTCGCCCGTAAAATTTTCGAATATAGCACGTGGCAGCAAAATCTTCTGATGGTCACGGAATACTTTGATCAATTCAATAAAATGATAATCTAATGTTTTTGCAATTGATCCGAATTGTTCATTACTATTTACTGCTTCCATAAAATTGGTCGCATCTATTCCATCAAGAAATTTTAATAGATGACATCCAACAACTTCATTTAATTCAACGACTGTGTTTTTCGACATAATTAGTCAATACTTAATCGCTATTAAAGCTTGAATCAATGATATATCTGAAAATGTCTGAAAACATATCGTTGTTACCCAACTAATCGATAATGATGCACTTCTCTAATCAATAATTATCGTCCTTCGTTCTGTTTCTCTTTCGCTTTCATATACTGCGTTTCATTCTTGCTTTTTCACTTTACCGCTTCTTTTGTAATGGTCATCTTTTCTTTTCTTTTCTTTTCATTCGCACAGAAAATGAATCATAGTCGAACAAGTCAGCCTGTCAAACAATTGAACATAGCTCGTATTATATGAACTTTTTTTCAATGACGATAGACAGCAGATTATGTTGGAAAAAAAAGAAATAAAAAACCAGCCTCAAAAACAGCTAGCATTACCAACCTAAGAAAAAAGTATAAGTTTTTGATAACAAACTTCTATTACCGAACCATAACTTTTCACTTTTGTACTCGTTTGTGTCAGATAGATTTGAGGTCTCTCATCTAAATTTGGTAATACCGCAAATTATGCAATGTTCTGCTTTTGAAGAGTAACTAATTCAAATCATTTATTTTTTTCTTAAAACACATTCTCATGCACTACTATTACAGACCCCTCGTAACGTGTAGTCAAATCAATCAAGGTTCGTTTACCACGCTTAATTTTCCCCATAAAAAAATGTGTTATTTTATTTAAGAAAATTTGCCTTTATATACACAAGAGAAACATGAAGAAGGAGAGAAATAACAGAAAAGTAGAGAGAAGAGATGGATGGTTTGGGCGCTCCTTCGTGCGTGACGTCCAGCTGACATTGAACAATGAAAAATGACGTCATTTTAATCTTTAACAAAGGATATGACGTTATTTAATTCTACAATCACGAAGTAGAAAAAAAAATATATACGTGAGAACCTCAATGATTCTCATAGACGAACAAAGAAAGAGAAAAAAAAGATTAACCTAGACGAACAAGACGAGTAGACGGATAACCAAAGAGAATAGAAAAGACACACGCACACAGACACACCGATACATACACACATTCATATATACAGAAAGGAAGAGAAAGAAGAAGAATTGATGTATGTGGATATTGTTGGAGTGCTCTCTAACAACTACATTATTTAGTATAAATAATTTTAACACGCTCGAATTTACAGTATGTTATACATATATATGGGTGTGCCCAGTCATGTTGGTACCCCAAGATATAGAGTAGGAAATTATATTATTCTAGGAAGGAATATATAATGAATTTTATACTCTTTCCTAGAATAATATCATTTCCTACTCTGTATCTTGGGGCACACCCATATATATTCTTCATGTCTAATTGTTTAATATAATATCTTCTTTTAAATATTGCACGATTTCAGAAATATCATTGAAGCATTTTTTTAAAATAACATCAAGATTTACGTCCTGGTCTTCGGAAAAAGATAATTGTTTATTTTCTACATCTTCCGATTCTGCAATTGAAATAGGCGAAAACATATTTGTATAAAGATTTGGATCTTTATGGCAGATATATTCATCCATTTTAAAATCAAAATTAAGTTTGTCTTCTTTAATATCAGGTTTTTCTTCTTTAATATCAGATTTTTCTTCTTTAATATGCATCACATCGTCCTTTTCTTCTTTCTTATCATTTGTTTGTAATTGATTGTATTGTCCACAATGAACACATGGAATATTGAATTGATTATTTTGTTGATGAGCAACAGGAAATTGAAGGATTATTGTTGGCATGGGTAATATAATGGATATTGATCCATTCATCTATAATTAAAGATATGTCTTAATGAATAAAAAAATATTTTGATGGTAATACTTGTTGATTATTGCTGATTGTAATAGTTGTCGTCATTGTAACAATTAAATTTTATGAGTAATATGGGTGCGTTGTTTGCTAATATCTAGAAATAGAGATGAACAATCTATTATAGATAAAGTATCTAATGGCCGAAGCTTACAAAGCATAACTTTCATTTCTGACAAGAAAACGATGGTCTTACTTTCTTTGTGGAAAATATCTTTTTCTTATACTTTCTCTATTAATCAGTTGTAATTTTAGAAATACACTTGTCAAGGAGAAATTGAAAAAGCATCAATAGCTCATTGTAATCAACATGAATGACAACGTCAAAAATTTGATCCAATCCAGTCGTTTCCTTATATTTTTTGACGTAAAAAACCAATCAATATGAATCTTGCAAGAGAGAGAGAGAGAGAGAGAGAGAGAAAGAATAGAACGTATCTATACGAGCAACTATTAAAGAACAGCACATGATAATCATGTTTAAAAACAATGTTGTTTTTTGAAGAAAAGTACTGAACTAGTTAATCGATGAGAAGATCACCTATTCATCGTTTCCATTGACACCAAAAGTGAAAATAAATCAATTATTATCTACTACAACGCTATGACAAAACATTTGCAATCACGAGAGCATGACACTTTATTCATACATGAAAGAATGATTTACAAAAAACAACAATGGTTCATTAACAGCACAAGTAAGAAGAATAACTAGAGGAGTTAATATTGACAAACAATAATGATTATTAATTTAATAAAACAAGAAATAATATTTAATATATTTATACACATACATACAAATTGTACATAAAAAACCCTTCTAACCAAAAAAAACATCTAAAAGTTTTTGTATACAGTAATCGTTTTTAACTAAAAAGTGGCTATTCATCCGCCACCACATGTTCAACTTTGCTATTCGCTCATGTACTATCATAGAAACAAGCAGGACTATAATTTAGAAGCAGTCATAAAAAATGAAGAAAACATACTCTCATGTATTTTTACATTTTGAGCCATTATTTGTTCAGAAAGACGCCGAATGAATGTTTTGAAAAGTTCCCATGTAAATAGATATAGAGTTTACCATTCATATAAAGACTACTTTCATATCACATGATAAAAATTATGAAGACGATTTATAAATGCATAGCGACAGATATTAGTAATTTGTTGTGGTGGAAATGGTCGAAATGTAGATTCTGAATTAATATGATTAGATGGATAATATATAACAAGTGATATTTCTTTTATTGACTTTGCTGCTCGAAGAGCAGCATATGTTTCTTCCTCTTTTCGAAAGAAAAGGTAGGAAATTGCTTTCCCATTCCTTGATGGAACACGATGATACTTATAATATTTCAATTGTTGATGGAATTTACCGCTCATATCATTGTTCGTTATTTCAACATCAGGGCGATTGTTGAGAACTAATCTATATTCCATACTTTAATGTACTGAAATCAAAGTTGAATGTGATTATGAATTTAAAATTAGCTGAAAATTTGAAAATTACGACTTGAACGTTAATCACATAAAAATATTGGAGAAAAAAATGTGAATTTTATTAATAGAAAACAATCGTTCGAGTTTGATTCTTTCTTTCTTGGTAGGAAAAAATAATCTATATATGACGCTCTCCAGTGAAGATAATTTAATCTTTCTCTCTTGCGTTCAGCTGTCATAATCATATGTGTTCGAAATACAGATTCATTATTCATAGCCATACGAATTCATTTTCCTTTGAACATGTCATATGATATTCGTCGTCTAAGAAGACGACAGAACGCAAAATATTTCTTTTCGTTCTATATCTCATCTACGACATGTGATGTGGTAACGAAAGGGTTAGGCGATCGCATAGAGAGAAAAATATCACTATATCACTCATGCGGTTATGTATGTCATGACGAACATGTTAAAAAAATGTCAAAGTCAAAGTCATTTTGAATGATAATAGCATTTTAAGTCATTAATTCTTGCTTCAACGAGCATCTTAATTTCCTAAAACATCTTGATATGAACTTAATCCAAACAAACATAAACTGATCGATACATATTACTTCTAGAATCAGGATAAGATTCATTTTTTTATTCCTAACAATAATTGATTTCAAATCAATATTGAAAATTTTTCTAATGCCATTGATGTGTTTTATCTCGATAATCTCAAGATTTTGTTGTTATTGCATGGTTCGCTTTAAATTTTTTTGATAATGCTTTTATTTATCTATTGTTGCATTTTTAGTCGATCATAATTGTTTTAATCGTCAGTTTAGAGACAAACTCATAGGAACTTCTTCAGCTTTTCTCATGCTCAGGAAATATAAGGTTTGAGATACGATAGAATATGAATTATTGGCAATTCATCAATTGAACGAGAATCTTTTCAAATTATTTTTATTGTATCGAAAATAGACTGAATTGTTTCTTGTAGTGTTAGATCTATTGTTGTTTTTTTTCTTATCTTCGAACGATGATATAGACAGATGCATATGTAGGAGAAAAAATGAAACGAAAATATCGATTGTTGTTGTTGTCACCTAAGCAATATTGGATCAAAATTATCAAAAAGAATTAAATGAAAGTGTTAAAAGCATTTGAATAATCATAATCATTAAAAGTCCTCAGGAAATGACTGATATTGTCAAAATAATTTCTAAATGTATAGATAAGTTTTTGAGATTGTTTGAAAAAAAATTATATCATGCTAACTTTTCAACGAGCAATTGAGTTTAAACGAAAACGTTGGATCAGTATAAAATAGACAACGGATTTAATAAATATTTGTTGGTTATTGTTCCATTGAAAATTATCTTTTGTCTTGGATAATTACTGTCTTTCCTCATGAAAACATCAAAAGAATGAAATGAAACTATTATTGTGTAAAAAAAAAGAGAATTAACTTCTGTTTCAACAAGAAAGACATTTCCCATTTTGTTTCTGTATAAGTAATGATTTCGATTGCTATCATATGTGTTAGAGTCTAAGTTGAGCTAAGCTCGTGAAACTCTTTTTTTTTTCATTGCAATCTATAATATTGTACAAGGATATAGATGATTGACGGAAGAAAAACTTCTAATTACGACTATTTTGACAAGAAATTATTGTATCTAGTCTATCGATTGTTGTTCAAACAGGAAGCAATGGCATTTTTCAAATCATAAAACGATTGACTATATCAACTATTGCGACTATGGTTATTAATATAATACCGGAATCTATTTTAGATAGTCGTTTAAAATAAATATCCTCTATATTATGATAGTTAGATGTAATTTAGCATGATCCTATTCTTCTTGTTCAAAAAAGATTTTTTTTTTAGTTTGAATTTCTTTGCGATTTTTTTTATTATAACTTCATCAACGCTAACAATATCTTCAACAACATAGAATCTTTTTTTTTATATGTCATACACATAATATGCGAACAAATCTTACAAGGAAAGGGCCCGAAGTAATGATTCGAGTTGAAGGCTGATATTGCGTGGGTTTGCTACGCTAAGTGCCCTATGTAGATCTCGATAATTTTTCTGCGCTAAAAGTTCACACTAAAATAAAATGTGTTGTATTATGTGTCGCATGTGTTGCAACGAGCTCTTCGTGTCGTATTTGCGTTCTCCGCTGGACATATATAACGAAGAGCGCAAGAAATACGACACAAAAAGCTCGTTGCGACACATGCGACACATTTTATTTTGAATTGTTGTTTTGCTTAGAAAAGAAAATAATAAAAATGTAAGATCATTTCTCGTTGAATATCTTTAAAAATTATTCACTGATATCTTTATAATTGTGACGGTATTCATGTTCATCATCACTTATCTCTTCAGCCATTAATGACATCAACCATCCTTTGACGGACAATAACCATTGGTTCGACTTGCCTCTTTCGCTTCTTTCTCTCTTCGCTTTCTTTCTCCGCGTTATTCATATTTCCTTCAGGCATTATTAAAAAGAAAAAAAACCACTTAAAAGATTACTGTCTTGCAAAAAATAAAAATAAAAATACGTGGATCAAATTCTAAAGTAATAACATGAATAAGCAACAATATACACTACAAAACTTAACATTTTTACCTAAATTTGAACCAATGACACCGAAGAAAACCTACTATATCAATCGTACAACAACAGATGATACAATATCAAAGGTGATTCGTCTTGCGAGTAAAGCAAAACAGTTTGTTATACAAACAAAATGTTATCATACAAATAAATATCCAGCACTAATTCAAATTCTATTTGCATATGAATTCAAATTACACATTATCTTAATTGAAACTTTATATTTAACACAGAACAATTCGATTCTACACAGTAAAATACAACACTTATTTTCTATTATCTTATCACCATCAAATATTATTCAGTCATGGACTGATATAAAAAAGGAACTTGAATCCTTTCTAAACACTGATTTATTTACATTCCATCAAATTCAAAATATTCGTGTAACTAATGTTAAAGATAAATTCCA